TTATGCAGCAGCCAAATCGCTCGCTCACAGCTTTAATGCCAGTAGCTCACAAAGTGGAATCTTTGCTCACAGGACTCCACGTCTTAGAGGGAGCACTGCTCCAGAGATAGGGCAGATTAGAAACAAAAGCACTTTTTCACACAGGACGTATATAACTGGTGGGTTTTGCTGTCACAAGATACGGGTATGGCCCCACGGGTCTTTAAAAGGGGCTCTAGAGAATGGCAAAATGGAACCTCCATGTCCAGAGGCAATATACTGCTGGACACCAGTTGCTGGGCCGGGACGACTGAGAGCTCCTCTCATGTGATATAACAGAGCAAAGGCTAGACCTGGGGTGTCAAACCTGCAGCCCGGGGGCCAGATCAGGCCCCAAAGGGCTTCTCTCAGGCCTGCAGTGGAACTGGCTGTCTTCCCCCGCTTCTTCCAGCCCCGTTGCTGCTGCGTCATCATAGGTTTGCAGCGTACAGATATACACCTGAACAGCATACTCAAGACTATAACAGCACAGACATTTTGATGTAATTATTCAGAGCAAGATGTGTCAGTTATCAGACACTGTTAAATAAACAAAATGTTGCAAGCGTGCTGATGTTTTAAGCATGTTTTTATTTTAAGTTTTAAAAAAACACCTTTGTGTTTGTGTCCTTCATAAAGTTGATATCTCCGCTACCTGGCATTCCGTCTTATGACACACATGGCCTGGCCCAACAAAATCTCACTTATGTCATATCCGACCCTCATAACAAATGAGTTCGACATCCCCGGGCTAGAAAAATCCCAGGTGCCAGTTCACCCTGGTGCCTAGAAACCTCATTTGTGGCACCTGCTATTTGTAACAGTAATTTTTTTTTGTAGAACTGTTTGGCCGTCCCCAGTGGAAGTACAAATACACTTATTCATATTGGAATAGGTTTTGCAGTATGACAAATAAATACGCACAACGGTCTCCTCGTTGCTGGTTTATACGTAAACTTAATCCTGCCACAGTGATGGATGAATTCATTCCTTAGCGACTTGCTTACGATTCTGGTGCCAACACTTAATTAAATGGGACTTTTTAAAGCGGTGATAAAAATGCGGGAAGTTGAGAGGCTAGGTTACGGTTAGAGGTTTTCTCGTCGTGACGCAACCAGGGCTGTTGGTGGTAAAAAGGGCAGTCAAGTTGCAGCTGCTTGTACGGTGATCCCGTAGGGTTTTTAAGAGCCAAACAGAGGTGGGTTTGCCCTTGCCTGCCTCTGCGTAGCGACCGACTTCCTTGGTGGTCTCCCATCCAAGGACTAACCAGGGCTGGTCCTGTTCGGCTTCCCAGATTGGATGAGATCGGGCTAGCTTGGGCTATCTAGGATCAAGGGAAGAGGCGATCAGAGGTAGGTTTGCCCTCACCTGCCTCTGCGTCGCGACCGACTTCCTTGGTGGTCTCCTATTCAAGGACTAACCAGGGCTGATCCTGTTTGGCTTCCCAGATTGGATGAGATCGGGATAGCCTGGGCTATCTAGGATCAAGGGAAGAGATGTTCAGAGGTCGTTTGCCCTTGCCTGCCTCTGCGTAGCAACCCTGGACTTCTTTGGTGGTCTGCCCGCCAAGGACTGAGCTGTGCAGACCCTGCTTAGCTTCTGAGATCTGAAAAGATCAGGCTAGCCTAGGCCATCCAGGTCAAGGCAAACCACGGCTCCCCGATCTTTATTGATATTTAACCACACATTTGTCTCAGCCAGCTTACGGCCACCCTGCAGGGCAAAGTGGTGTCAAACTCATTTGTTACGAGGGCCAGATCTGACATAAACGTCCCTTTGTCGGGCCGGCCCATGTAGTGGTTAAGTGCGCGGACTCTAATCTGGGAGAACCGGCTTTGATTCCCCACTCCTCCACCTGCAGCTGCTGGATGACCTTGGGCAAGCCATAGTTCTGTCAGAGCTGTTCTCTCAATGACAGTTCTGGAAAGAGCTCTCTCAGCCCCACCTGCCTCACAGGGTGTCTGTCGTGGGGAGGGGAAGGGAAAGGAGTTTGTAAGCTGCTTTGAGACTCCCAAGTGAGGGGCGGGGTATAAATCCAACCTCCTCCTCCTCCTAAAATGTAATGCCAGGTAGCGGAGATAGAAACTGTATAAAGGACAGCAGCTAGTAAGCTCCAAGTTGGTGTATCCTCACTGCAAGGCCCCCTGGGGTGGGAGGGGTGTGCAAAGGAAAACCCATGGAGGCGGACAAGAGAGGAAGCACTTAGGGCTCTTGAGCTAGGAGAAACGACGACTGAGGGGTAACATGATCAAGGTTTATAAGATTATGCATGGGAAAGAGCAGATGGAGAAAGAGGTACTTTTCTCCCTTTCTCACCATACAAGAACTCCTTGTGGGCACTCCATGAAATGGCTGAGCGGTCGGGTCAGAACGGATAAAAGGAAGTCCTTCTTCACCCAAAGAGTGATTAACACATGGAATTCACTGCCACAGGAGGGTGTGGCGGCTACAAGCATGGACGGCTTCAAGAGGGAATTAGATAAGCATATGGAGCAGAGGTCCATCAGTGGCTATTAGCCACAA